CCTTTATGTCCCAAGATCTGATTGTTAACTCTCCTCACTACCTGTTGCAAATTTCCCTGCACCCTTGTTTTTTGATCGAATCCTTTATAGACCACACTTTTTCACTAAAATAGTTGTATGCTGGATAACTTCTTTTAAGGCATTTTTAAATTTGACATCTTCATGGTCCACAAAATTGACAAACAAAACTTGGTCAATACCCAACCATGTTGACTTCAAGCTGAGTCAATAACACATATGTGCCATGATATACCTGAGCTGGATGTTTTCCTGTTTCCTGTACCAGCCGTGCTGCTCCGAGAACAGTCTGAGTGGCCAGATCCGTTGACAAAGCTCTTGGTAAACCCACCCTCACACCTCCATCACTCATTGCCTCAATGGCAAGGAAGAAAAAAGCCAGGGCACTTCCACCCACAGCAGTAATTGCATTCATCTGAGATTCTTTCACCTGCACACACATACCTGTGGTAAAAGGGATGCCTCAGTTAGCAGCACTAGTGGAATGTTGTTGCTAAAACTATGCATAATTACTGAATGCTTATGTTTTATTCTCAGAGGGTCACCTACAGAGGAAAAGCATTCTGAAGTAACAGTCTTGGTTTCTTCATACTAGCCACTATCCTCACAAAAACCTTCTTGCACCATTGATGGGAGTCAGAGTTAACAATTGGTAACAGAAAATGAAATGATAAGAACACTGGTTTTCACTCTTAAGTCAGTCAGTCAACCACACAAAAGAGCACAATGGAAATTAACAGCAAAAAGCTTAGAAAAACTGTTTATCTCTCTGAGTTTCCATACCACCCTCCTCATTTGTCTGCTCTAAAGTTTGTCAAGCACAATTTGATTGAGTTGAAAGACTTAAGTGAAATAACCTTGGGCCTCACTTAACTTACACATTACAGTAAAGGAGATCTCAACAAAAGATTTTCCTACCACTAGTTTGAAGAAGTATTTTTATCAGTTGTACATCTGCTGCCGATGTGCACCTTCCTTTACAGAATGCCAAAGCACCACACTGCACAGAACAGGCCAAATTTGGGTTTGCTCGAATGACACGAGTGTTTGGTGGTAAACTCTAGACAATAAGGAATACATGACTACAATTAAAGATCAGGAAATTATGATGTGGTCATCATGAATAATAATTATGTGCACTATGTTACATATCAATGGCTTGTTCCTCACTACTGAAGTTGGTCAAGTGTTTGCCAAAAAATATTAATTCATGCATGGTCAATTGAATGTTTAGCTTCTTAATCCCTAAAAATTCTTTCTTTTTATCTTAGGAGCAGGACATATTTTATAAGACACTAAAGTTATTCTGGTTTTTTGTCATCTAATTAATATTTAAATTGAAGTTGACTTTTGAGAGAAAGAAATTCTAGTTAAGGCAATAAATTAAACATGAAGGGAAAATGAGTTTTTAGGCAAAGTCTTCACACATATAGTAATTTACTTCTCTTAACACAACACAGGTTTTATTAGCTTCTAAAGTTTAAATTAGAACACATATGACCTGATTTGATTGTAACATTATATTATCAAATGTATTTGATCAAAATGTTCCCTTCACATTTAAATGAACAAAAAACATTGAACTAATAGAAAAAAAAGAAAGAAATAGATAACAAATAAATGCATATTGAGAATTTCAGGTTTTACAAATACTGACAGTCAAGTAAGATAACTCTTAGTGTCAGCTGTAAGAGGAAGATGCTATGTTTCTTTGTTGGGAGGTATATCATAATTATCCCTTAGAAGGGGATAATTATGATATACAAAGGCTCTCTTTTCTTTGTCGCATTGTAAATGTTATGAATCAAAAAACACTCATGGCTCTCACCTCCTCGATCACATCTGTGGTAATGGCCGCAGCTACTGACACAACAAGGTGTCTAGATGTGTCAATGGAAGACTTGATCTCTTTTGCAACAGGAGCTATTAAGTAAGGTTTTACCGCTAAAAACACCACATTTGAATTTTCAACAACTTCCTTATTATTCAGTGTTGTCTGACAGCCCATATCCTATAAAATAAGAAACATCAAAAGGTTAATTTTAAGCTACTATCTGCTAGCTCAAACGCAGGTACCACAGGGATGCAAATATTGATATATGTCACACTTGGTAATTTTGAATCTCTTAGTGACATGAATTTCTTTCCTCTAAATTTATCTTTTCACATTTTACCCTCAGAAACTACATCTTTTTCGATTTCCCACTACCGTTATTTTTTTTTTTTTTTTGGCAACTGGGGTTTCATATGCGTGATTAATGGAAGCATTTAACAGATTCACAAAACAACAAATCCTATTAAAAGAAGGAAGCGGGAAAAAAGAGGAAATTATACGTTGTTCCTCTGAGCAACTCAGTAATTGGGATACAAGCATACATGATATACATTGGTTTATAAAGCCACTCTGTGGACTTAGAACAAAAGACGACAATGATAATAACGATGATGATGAAGATAACCTTTTCCCTCTTAAAGGTCGCTGATGAAGATTTTAATTCTTATCGTCCCTAAGAATCCTTATTGCACCATTGTAAACTGGAAATCCACATTTTGGCAGCCGTCTTGTGACAGGATAACGAGGTTGCCTCTCGTGGTAGGGAAAAGGGATTCAAATTTTCACAAATTTTTACTAGCACTGATCGATCGTAGTTTAGATAACACGTGCCTAAGTACCTAGCTACATTTTAATTTAAAAGAGGACAAATTGTCTCACCTTCCAGACAGCCAGTGTTTTTTCCGTGGTTGCACTAGCGATAATGTTACTTGCTCTGACGGTGTTTGTCGTTATAAATCCTTTGGCTAATGCTTTTGCCATAGATCCGCCTCCGACAAATCCAACCTTTAGTTCGTCCGCCATATTGAAATGGTTTTCCCCAGGTACTCTCTCCCTCTTTGGCGAGTGCCTTTGGTAGTTTCCAGTTCCCTCTCTGCAATCACTCGAGAGATCGTGAAATGTGCACCAAGGATCAGCACTGAAAAGATTGAGGTAACTAAAGAGACCAAAAAATCGGAGATTTCCAGAATCAGAAAACAAGGAGATCGATTTCTCAGCAAGCGCAAGGAAAACAATCCAAAAGGACGAGAAGGAAAACGTCATTCGACGTCAGTCACTCGTGCATCTACTTTTAACATTCTATTGGTTGATTGTAACTGCAAGTTAAATTTTGAAACACAAAAAAATTGACCAATAGAAAACTTATGCTACTTTCATTCGAAGTTGAATGCGCACTTCAGTGAGGCAACCTCAGGATCTGAAAAGAAGCTTATATTTCTCAAGCATTCACTTGTCCATCTCTTCCCTAATAATGGGTTGTGCGTCCTCGTTTTCACAACCTAAATTCAGAAGTGATATTCCAGCTAAGACGACGCTTTTGCTAACAACGAAACAGAAGGAGCTCATTCGGAAATCATGGGAACTGCTTCATAAGAGAAGGGCTGAGGTCGGTGTCAAAGTTTTCCTGACGTAAGTGTGACAAATTAATGAAGTAACAGACTACTTGAATACGGTTATTTTATTTTCTATTTATTTTTAATTTTTTTTTTGCAAGTAACCAGAATTCTCATGAGCTAAGAGTCAATAATCTTACGAGAAACGAAAAAAACAACAACAACAACAACGAGTTTACACTCCGAGAATTTGCTGTGATCTGGAGTTATAAAAACTGAAAATGTAAACTTTTTTTAACATCTTTCTAAAATCACATTCATCCGTCTATGATTTATTTATTTCAGCACTGTTAGTCGTCCGGCATATCTGTTGTCAGTTTTGTGATAAGCTGATGATTATGGACAATGAGCACATTAGACTTAGGATCAATAGACTCTGCATAAGTCATTTTTTCTAAGCAAGTCTCTCGTCGGTAAAACTGCATTTAGAATTTAAAAGTTGTATATCATTACCCATTTGATGAATCCTTAACAAGAAAAAAATACTGAATATGCCAAAATTATTTTTATGCTATTTTGCTAGCCACTTTGACTACGTAGAAATTAAAACTTTCGTATTTTGGGTAAGCTGTGTCTGGAGGCGATAAATATACATTTATTTTTACGCGTAAACCTTCCTTTATCAGGCTTGTAACTAGGAGCGAGAACAGAAGAAAGTCATCAGTCATCTGCTACTGTTGCTTTCAATTTCTTTAAAATTTAAAGTGAATAATACCAAGAACATATTTCGTCTGCTAATGGGTGTATGATTAGAGGATATAAACTGGCAATGCTACAAGAACATAATTCAATTAGTGTTTGTTGTATATATTGTTTTGATTTCACTGATATTCCCTTTCGTAAATTCAGGCAAATAAAAAAGACTTTAAAAACTTTTATTTATACGTGATAAATTTACCTTTGTTTCAAAATTTCGGGATGCAAGCATGATCACACGTGCTTGCCACAAAATAAGCTTGCCAATGTATTCAGAAAGTGCATCCTGTCTAAATTATTGCCTCAGGCAGATGGTTTGGTTCGAGAGAGTACGTCATCAGTCAAGTGTAATAACTAGTGCGATTGTGTCCGAACCTATCATGAACTCAACCTCAACCCTGTCACCGCTGAGAAAGTAAATATTAGTCATTTTCAGTGCCACGGCTGGAAAGGAGATGATTTTCCATTTTAAGTTAAGAATACCGCGGGGGATAGGATACACAAATTGTATATAAAGTGCAACATAATTTGAGCGTGATTCGTGCACTTTACCACGTTTTTAGAGAATAGCCACCAAAGTTTATCGATTCAAAGAGAGAGTCAGAATTCACCGTCAGGAAATGTACAAGGAAAAAGAATTTTTTTTGGGGAAAGCAAACTGAAACCAAATTATGGTTACTTGAAACAAAAGCGGCGGCCGCTTTTGGCGAAATTGGTTTCACGCCACTCTCTCATTTTTAGTGGAAAATAAAGGATTAGGGCTTATAAATCAGTTAACTAGATTGTATTTTAAACAAAAAAGAATTCTTCTCAAGTTTTATCTGTGGTGTTTTGTGTGCTGTCGTGAAAAACTGTGTAATTACTGAAAACAGCCGATCACACTAATATCAAGAATATAAAACATTGCATTTCAGAGAAGGCAGTGAAGTCAAATGACGAATGCTTCTTTAATTATGTAACTTATTAGCTGAGTTTTAACTGTTCAACATGAGACAATAAAAAGATCTTGGAACATTGATAACAACATTTTCGAAAGGCAATTTTTACGCACGCTCTTGCTTGCAAAGTCTCAAAGTGCACATGCGTCGGTTTATCTGATGTGCTCATGTAAAGCGATCACAGCCAAACGTCGAATCCTTTTGATTTTTCTTCAGACTTTTTGAAGAAGATCCAGGATTACAAAACATGTTCGCGGAATTCAGAGAGGTGAAACTTGAAGAGCTGGCGCGAACGCGAGAGCTTCACGGACATACCGAGAGAGTGATGCGTGCCGTGGAGAACTGCGTTAACGCGATGGATGACCCAGACTCTTTGCGAGCTTATCTGACAGAGCTGGGAAGGAGACACGTATATCGATCAGTAAAACCAACTGTAAGCAACGTAAGTATGGCGTTTAATGCTTTCTCTCCCAGGAGTGACCAAGATATAATTTCTCCTCACAATTTCAATGCAATATTAAGAAGCCAAATGACGAGAATATCAAAAAATATAATAAAGCGATTATCACCAAATACTCAGAATAAACTTTACAAGAAATGTCAGGCAGACATTAAGGAGAATTGTCGTCGAGATATTGGGAGTGGAAAGGTAGACAATCTTGAAAGGCTGGGATATTAGGTAAGAAAGGCGCGGGGTAAACGTAACGTCAACGAGAAAGCTAACATTTCATTTTACCGATCAGCTTAGCATATTTCACTGCAGAGTCACCTTTCTGCGATTCTAGCTGGTGCGCACCATGCACTTGAGTAGTACACTAAGTCAACTACAGGACAACTGTGTTTTTTCCTTCACTTTTTTTCCTCTTTTCACAACAGCTTCACCTGATTTCCAAAGCGTTGATTTCAACCTTTAAAGAGACCATTCAGGACGAGTGGACTCCTGAACTAGCGGCAGCCTGGGAACTACTGTTGAATTATTTCACTCTGATGTTGAAGGAAGGAATACGTTCGACAGTTGATTGACACACAGACATGTTCTTCCTCTTTCACTCAGGAAAATTAACCCTCTGCGTTGAAATTTAAAAATTGAAAGTCACGATAATTCATCTTGGAACGAATCAAATCGTCTGTTAAACTTTCTCTATGGTTGACTTCACAACTTGTGGTGTTTGCGCCTTTTGTTTGTCTGCCCTGTTCACGCGTGTAAAAACCAGTTACCAAAAAACACACAAATAAGCGGAGGTAGTTGATATGATTTAATAATTTAAACCACGAAATTTGCACATTATCCATTTTAAAAATACACATATAAAGAAGTTTCTGATTTATGCGAAACGTTTTTATCTTTTAACTTGATAACATGGCACTACTCTACTCTTCTGAATAGACCTTCACGTTAATTAAATTTTCGACGTTTCTAATGCCATCAATTCACAAGAACGTAGAACGATGCGACGCGAGCAGTGCATTGAGCGCAATTTGAGTGAGTGAAGTAAAACGAGAACCAAAGTAATTGTACCAGAGCCAGTTAGAAGAAAGGCGCTAAAAGGTGAACCAATGACAGCTGCTTAGGGCGCTGGGAAACGCTAATGTACGTCGCTTTTTCAGGACCAATCATAGCGCATAATGACGCGAAACCAAATCAATCCGGATCACATTCGACACCCACTTAAAAATTTCTCTTGTGAGATTAATCTTGAAATATAATACTTTATAACTTGGACAAACGAAATACCGAAAATAGCTGAATATATAAAACGTTTTAAGTTGATGAATTTTTTTAAACTTTAACTGATAATTCGTCGAGCCGATGGAAATTCGTGCGGGCTGTTTATCAATGGAATAAATTATAACAAAATATCCACTCTTCGATAATTGTTAATCTCTTGAAAAAAAAACTGCTTTAATTGACAATCGGCCACTCTCCTGAGAGGTCGTCTTTAAAGAGTAAGCACGGGTTCAAATTTTCAACGTCAATTTGTTCGAAGCACGATTCGCACCAATTCATAATTAAATACCATCAGAGTAAAGTTTCTGTGTGGAGCTAACTTTCTCAATCTTGTTTCGAACTTTGAATTGGTGACTTTAAAGTCGGAGTGCTATGTACCACTAAAAAGGATATAAGCCAGAGGTTGGTTGTTCAAATGGCGCTTAACATTAGTCCCGAATTGAAACTAAACCTTGGAAGTTTGCCTCGGTGTAAGAGTCCGTAAAGTTTTTACTATTTTGCTTTGTGAATATCATTTCCTAAGCTCTATCTTGTTTTTATTTCTCTGTTTCTTTGTTCGCTTCTCGTGAATGTGAAACGGGTTCTTTTGCCGAGAGTGAGCCAAGCTTGGTAGAGATGCTCTCTTGTTACAAATTAAACATGCTCATTAGAGCTAATGTCTTGCCAATTTTGTCTTAAATTAACGTAAACTTGCAGGAAACGAAATAATTATACTTAAACTGTCTACAACATCACAAAGTTTCACACAAACCCTGGGTTAGTTTAGTTGCCTTTTGAAAAACCCAGTCCATGTTTTCAGGGGTAAGTTCTGTTTAAAATGAAGCATAAACGCAAGCGAATCCAGTTCGTGTTGAGTGACAATAAAATATGCATTACCCTTCGTAAAAGTTTCCTTAATTCGTTGAAAATTGTCAAAAGATGATGAATCTCGTTCTATTTATAGCCCAGCGCAACACAAACGAAAAGGAAAAAACTTGGATTTGCAGATTCTTATACATTTTATACATAATAATGTCCAAATTGTGAAAATGAAAATAGCTGTCCTGTTGTTTTGTGCTATAGCTGAAGAAACTAGTACGTTGATCTTAAAAGAGGCGCTCGCAGAAACGTGTTTAATTGACGAGAGGAGCCATCGATCACAGTTTGTTTTGGTTCGTAAATATGAACCAGCTATTGCAATCCCTTTGGCACACAGCCAAAGGAGCACCCTTTCTCGGGCTTGCAAAATTTAACCAAAAAAAAAAAAAAAATTAGTAACCAGGTTTTTTTTTCGGTTCAGTCACTGTATTCCTCCTCTTCACTCTCTCCGCTCTCGTCCAAGTCGTCTTTGTCTTCTTCATCTGAATCAGGATCCCATTGTTTGGTATCAACTTCTTTAGCTTCTTCCACATTAATCTGAAAAAGTTTGTAGAAATGAGTTATGCCGATGTCTTTTATGCTCGATAAAACTGAATGTTCTTCAGCCATTCCCCATTCGGAAATTATTAACATCCAACATCTCTTTACCGTTTTGGATTGCGTGCTCTGATGCTCCAGTACTGACCTACAGGGAACTTTATGGTTAGCTTCGCCATTATCGTTAACTATTTCAATCATTCCTATAGCAGAGGCATCATTGAACACACTTAGTAAAATTACTTACGTTAAAATTTTGATGAACGTCCAAGTCCAAGTAAGAGTCTGATCGTAGAGTGACAGTGTAATGGTACGTTTTGGCTTTGTACGGTGCTTGAAACTTCAGATCCAGCTGGAACGAGAAGCAACAACAGTTTATATTTAATCTACGTGCAAACATCTTCGTTTTCATTTTCGAAATCTCCAGCAGGAGGCATGAACACATACAATTGTTAACGTTTTCGTCTCCAAAGAGAATGACTTTGAAATGAATTTTTTAGATTAAATATAAGTTTTTGTTTTAAGTTTCAACGATGATGTAATTGATCCTTAAGCGATCGTCAAGTTTGCATGGTAAGAAACAATTTGAATTCGTGATCAACGAAAACTTTTCTATTATGGACGTGATTTAGTTTTAGGTATTTCTTACGACCATTCAACAGTTCCGCACACCCAGCGATTAAAAGGAAGGATTCTGTCATTTGTTGGTGCAAGAATGGGTGTGTAGAGTCAGAGATCACACAGATACCTTTTCTTCGTCTTTAAGGTTGCATATCATTTGAGGCCGTGTTATTAGCTCTCTTCTTCTGCGATCTGTGACATATATCCACCACCATTCATGCTTTTCCTGTAAAAAAAATAGCAAGAAAAACAGTGAAACTAAACTCATTTGTGGGATTTAAAGATAACGTAATTTTTCTAGGAGGAAACAAAATTCAATTCAAGTCAAACCTCTGGAAAATACGGCGCATGGACGATATGGCTTTCTTTTGACTTCGGATCCAGAATTGCATCTCGAGTCCTAACTTCGGCTTGCAGTCGGTCCCACTCGGCTTCATCTTCAGAATCCCGAGCGCTAACATCATGTGGAACGTAGCTGTCATCATCTTCACCAGAACTAAGAGGAAAAGAAAAGAAGCCAATTAAGTTCTCAAGAACAATCTTGGCTTTTAATCAAAACATGTATTTTTCTGTTACCATACGAATATTTTCTAATTTTCCCTTAAGGAGAAGGTAGCTTTACAGTTCCAGCGAGAAAAGAGCCACTATAGCGAGACTTTTTTCAAAATACCTGCTGCTATCCAAGTCAGATTCCTGCTCATCAGGTTTTCTTCTTCCTTTCTTAATTTCTTCAATTTTCTCGTTCGTAGTATCATCATCAGTTTCATCATTGTCTTCCTCGTCGTCCACTTCTTCCTTCTCCGCTTCCACGTCCACTTCTCCCTTCTCCGCTTCCAAGTCCTCATCCTCCTCCTCCTCTTCCTCCCTCTCTTCTTCTTTCTTGTTCTTGTTCTTCTTTTCATTTGATTCTTCTTTTTCTTCTATAGTTTTCTAAAGAATTAATAGACAGAACAGCGAATTGAAATAATTACTAAGTAATTTTTTTGTCATTCCATCGTGCACGTTCCAGAATCACATGAAAGTGGCGAAATTTTCAAGATGAGGCACAAGAATTGAAAAATTCGCGACTGGATCGGCCAGAGGTTATCATGGAAAGACTCAGAAATAGCGGAAGAAAGAAGTAAAAGTTCCCACAGAGTCATTTTCGATCACCGCATATGAGGATAAGCAAACCTGATCCTAGAAATAAGCACAACAAAAACTGAAGATTACTTGTTTTATAAAATGTCAACTTTCTATGTGGAAAACTTCCTACAGGTTCTCTACATTTCAGAGACAGGGCATATAACACACAGTGTGTACAACGTCACTCACTTTTTTTTCTTTGCTCCGACCTCGCAACAAATGAATTAGATATCTTACTTTACGTCATCATTGCTTTCAAAGTCATTCCGCGAAAGCTCATCTTGATTTATCGATTTTTTACCTCCTTCTCATCCTGTGAGTTTTTCTTTTTAGGCTGTTGTTTCACGGGTTTTTTCTTGGGTTGCTTTTTTTGTGGTTTGGTTTTTTTCCCTTTCTTTTTGTTTTTCTGCCAGACTTTGTGACCACCAGGTTGTGGTGAGCCCTGTTAACAAACACGGGATGGGTTATTGCCAAACTTAATTTCTTGACGAAAAAACATTCCTATTTCCTCCCCCCCCCCCCTCCCCTTTAGTACCCATTGTAGAGAGCGTATTTCTATATAATAAACATTCAGCAACTAAAGCTGTAAATGTACAGTTACTTCCCACGAATGAGATGCTAAACGGTCACAATTTCACCCCCACCCCCCACCCTTCCATGTTATTAAGTTTCTGTGATAGTCCGCTGACACCGTCTCCACTCATTCATTAAATCGTTAGTCGAGAACAGCACTGTGACAGTTTAACGTTCCACCGAGCATAGAGTTTAATGAAGGAAGACCTGGCCATGACACGTTCCTTGATACGAAGTCCAGCTCACTAACTGTTGGACCAAAAGTGTTTTAGTTAAAAAAAAAAATAAAAAAAAAGAGAGAGAGAAAGAGATATATTTTCCATATAAAAGTACCTTTGGTTCTAAAGTTTCATTTGGATTCACGCCATTTAGTAGTGGGACATCACCTTCGTTTTCCTTCTCGAATAGCTCCTGTAAAAGTGGAACTAAACAATAAGAAGGGTACGAATTCTCTCTCACTAGCCTCTGAGGAGGGGGGCTTTGGGGTCTATTAGAAACCGCAAAACCATACGAAAAATCATCCAAAACCGCAAAAAAATTGAATCAAACCAAAAACTGCATGCAAAACCGTCAAAACCCATAAATTTTCACATTCCAGTTATCAAACCTCTTATTGATCCGATACAATGGCGACAAGTGGAGCATACAGAGGTTTCGTGGCTATACGAATCGAGTGGAGGCGTACAATTGCCGCTCAGGTCGAAGTGAAACTGCCACCCCAATGTCCCCTCGTTATTAGACGTTTCAAGAGGCGGAAAGATGGGGACAGCATACGTACTCTCCTTGCTTCTATCTCCCTAACCTCTACCAGAAAGCAGTTTGCAACACAGGGCGATCTTCAGTATCATACATCGTAGTGAAGACCACATCAATTGATCTGTCTTTTGAAAGACAGTGGAAGAAGCAACTCACCCCAAGGTTTCGTCTTTTTATTATAACAGCCACAGTCACTATTGCGCCTGTTGTGATCAGTCCTGCATCATCTGCATCATCTAAGACTGTTAAAAATAAGTTTGAAGTGTGAACCTCAGGAAAAATGTTCAGCGCCCCGTCAAAATAATTAGCTTGATTTCCCTACTATTCTCGTTTTATCATACTTGACCAACTTTGACAATAACAGCCTTCAAGCTAACAACGACTCCTAGAGCATGTCTATAGTTAAAAAAAAAACCTGCAGAAATAATTTTGTTTGGTAAACTTGAAAACATTTTGTCTCTTCTCAGGTGTATGCGATAAATTTTGACTCAAAGACTGAAGTGATTATTGAAACAACAAATAAAATGTAGCTCTGGTGTGAATGAACTTCAAAATTTATTTCCATGATAGGAATAAATGAGCATTAATTTGTACTATAATCTAAAAATTAGTTTCACAAATTTAAACTGATTTGAGAGTCTTTCCTGAATAAGAGAGCAATTTGTGCATTAATCTTGTGCTTTCTAGAAATTTTAGTTTCATCCTGATCCACTCAGTTAGTTTTCAAGGACAAGCAAAAAAAAAAAAAAAACAGGGGGATCACACTTAACTGAGAACCCTGCCAAATGTATTTTTGCCCCCCTTATTCCTTTGCCTCCACTTACTAAGAGACTGGCAAAGTCTTAAACACAGTCATATTGTATCTATGAATACTTCACACAATGTTTTCTCATAGTGTTGTGTAGCTGTTGAGCCTGATGGATAGAGATATGGCCAGAAATGCATGCAGTAACAAAAATGGCAAGGATTCATCAAAATCATCAAATCTGCTGAGCTGATCTTGCTTTGACATATTTGACTAAAATTTGCCAAAATCATCAAATTCATGAATACTCACTCCTTTTGATGAAATCACTGCATGCATTTCTGGACACAAGAGTGGATAGATAGCATAACGAACTAACCATGAGGTTTAACATCCATCTCCACATACGGAAACATTGAACAAACATTAATGACATCTTCATACTGTTCCCCAGTTAGGTTTCGCAAAAGAGCCCTGTAATGTGATGCAACAAGATGTCAACTGAGTTGAAAAGACAAAATCAGCTCATTAATTACCTACAAAACATTCATTGATTCCATCATTCACTCTTGAATAAATATTGATTAGAGTAAAGACAAGACTGACCTTCTGTCCTCATCTTTCATACTTGCCAGTTGCTTGATGGAACGAACACTTCGCTGTGAACAAGGAGTGTCACAAACAATATTATACTCATTCACCTTTTTCACAGAAAGATAAGAACATTTCATTTTGTGATTCTTTGTTTAAATGACAGATGCATCATGCTTTGCTACCATATAAGAAGAAAGACCTAATTCTGTGAACAGGTCACTTGAAAAATAACTCAGATTGAGGTCTTACTGAATAACAAACATAAGTGATAACAGCTCCCTTAAGGGAAGATCGCTTGCATATTTGTACCTTAAACTATTCATGCTGGTGAAATTCAATGCTTTAAGTATAATTTAAAATTTTATTTTTTGATAAAATCAAGATCTTCTACCTTTTTGGTGGTGAAGTGTCGCAAATTTTCCTGACTGAGATGAGGCAGTTGTAACAAGGGAGACTTGGTGTCCCACAGCCCCTGAATTATCATTTGACTGACACGCATGCAATTCTCCACCGTCTCCAGCCGTGGTGTGTTTGCAACTGAAAAATGAATAAATAATCATACGTCTTGCAAAGAAACCATAAAGATGCAGTGGCTTTAGCATCCAGGACTTCACATCAAAAGATCAGGGCTAGCTCCATGCATTTTGTTTTTTAATCTTGGCCAAGACACTTTGCTCTCACTGCCTCTCTCAAAAAATTTCCAGTGGCCTTATCAATTTGTTACAAGTTATGGTAGGATGGACAAATCATATATGGATTTGATTAAACTTCATCCACTAGTTTCAACCTACCTCTTCCTTCTTTGGCCATGCCAACCAGCTGTGACACACAACTCACCATTTCTTGAATGAGGAATGGACTCTTTTGAAGTATTAAGTCAAGATCTGAAATGCCACCATGACAATAAGGTTTTTTTTTCTTTGAATAACAGATAATGATCATTTGTTTATTTTACTGTATTAGACCTTTACAGTATATCCCATTTCAAAGGTCCTTTGCCAGGCCCTAAGCCACCTCTAGTCTTAAGTGTCCAGACACAACTCATTCAGTAAAATGGTACAAAATCAGATGGGATATGGACAATTCATAACACAAAGGGTTTACGATAGCAGGATTTCACTTTATCTTGGATGTAAGGAAGCCCATGGGCTAATCAGTACCATGAATATACACAATTCTCATAAAAAGACTTTTCCCCTGCCTCACCTGATTTGAGCGTGAGCCGTGGAAGCTCTAGGCGTGATAAGTGAGCATGGATCAGAGCTCTTGCCTTGATGCTGTACGGGTAACAAAGTGGTGCCTCTTTGTTCTTGTCCCCCAGGTTCGGCAAGTCTCGCATGAGCTAACACAAGTCACAAATGAATCAGAAAAATGTAATAAGGCACAGATAACATCATTATTTTTATGCACTAAACTATGAACCCTTACACCCTAACATCAGTATGTATATTCTCCATACAGTTCTCTGTACATTTCTTAAGCTGCTAGACAAGGAGGATTTGTTCAACAATCAAGAGCCTCTTTAGTTGGTGATCATTTCCTTATTCTTGTCACCTCAATATTTGATGCATCAGTGTTATTATAGCAAAAAAATTAGACACTAGTCCCTCTTAAGCATGCAAGGGTTAAGTTAAAAACAGACATACCCATAGCCCATTGTCTCACCTCTGGTAGCTCTGAATTATCACTAGGCCTCCCCTGAACTTCATTATTGTGACCTTTTTCAAACTCCAAGGACCCAGCCAAAATCATTAACACACCTATGAGAAGAGCATTCTATATAATTCTGAATAATCCCCTAATTAATCTTTTTCTTCATTTTCATCTCTCGTCTGCTTGATATTGTATTGATATTGTGAGGAGACATTTTGTGTTTGTCAATCACAGGAGTTATAAGTTAGGTGATCAGTGATTTATAATGGTAATAGGACTGAGTGCTAATTCAGTCTGTAATCATGCAAGTGATTAACAAAATCGGATGACTGCAAAGTGGAAGTCCAATTTGTCGATCACTTACATGATTACCTCCAGAATTGGACAACACAAAGTCCTGTTACCAATTAATCATAACCATTACAATTTCTGAAAAAAAAAAGTACATCTTGGACAAACAGCTCCAGTAGGGACAATGTCTAAAGCAAAACATATTTAGAAATTTTGTTTTGGGTAAGTGGTTGTTGCTATAATGGTTATTGTGATCAATTCTGTCATTGGTGGATTTAGCTGACTGAACTTAGTATGATTGGCTGCTTCAACTGTCCAATTACAGCCAACTGTCCAATTATACTGTCTGATCACAACTGTATAGAGTGATTAGTGATATATAAAGCAGCTAATGCACCAATCACATTTGAGGAAATTGTAATGGTTATGATTAATGCTAAAACTGGTGTGATATAGTGTAATATACTGTACATGATATAGTTTCCTTCTCGGCAGTGTCAAGTTACTTGAAAAAATCCTTTGAGCAGAGAATTTATTGTGTGGTTCTCCTTTTCCACAATATTACAAACTGAGTATACATACGTTTAGATTGCATGGCTGGTGTCTTGAGAAAAAAGTGGATGTAAAGCTGAGTGGTATTCAAAAGGATTTGTTCACAGCTATACTGGATTGACTTGTACCACCATGTCCCCTGATCAAAAATTAAGAGATATGAAGTAAATGTGATAGGCTTGATAATACACAAGTCACAGGATATTGAGCTGTGTGGCTGTGCAGCAAGGTCTATCAAATCTGTGTGGTATAAATTTCTTAATTTAAAAGGAACACTAAATCAAAATTGCTTCAAACTGGTTTGATTTGTATAATTACTCTTTGTTCCAGATATGTTACCATGATCCTTAAAAAAGAAAACACAAATCAGCCTACCTTTTATTCATTTTAAGCTGAAATCATGCAGCAATGATACTAAAATCAAAATATTGAGTTAGAAACGTACCACTGCAATTGGAAGGATCACCATGAAGGCAAGTCCATAAGCTCCCAAAACCTAAATTGCACATAAGCAGGAAAATGATATCAGATTTTTTTGCCAATATAAACCTGAGAAAGGTCATCATAATATGGACTTTTACCTCATAATATAAAGATTTACCTAACAGTGGCCTATTTCTAAGTAACATGTGTTATGCTTTTTATGTCATCTGCTACAGAATGTTATTTCCATGTACAAGGATGAGCACCAGGACTCAGTTTGAAAAATGAAATGAAAAGTAATTTGGAAACAGACCATTAAAAGGTTCACTGGCATTTTACTCTGCTACAATGACATAGTTGACTAAATTTTCATGATCACTTTTCAACACCTATATTGTGTATCTGCTAAAAGAAAATCTTGAGTTTACAGATAACAAAAAATATTGGAAACAAACTGACACTGCATCAGGATACAATAAGGATGCAAATTGTCTTTGTTTTACTGAGTGTATGAAAAAATGTACTTTAGCATAAAGGGCATCTACTTAGCTTGCTATATTATGCCCTTCTCCATTTTCTTTATCTTGTTGTAATTATTCAAAGGTTGTGATTGTTGAAATGGAGGAAAAACAAATAAAAAAGGAATTTATTAACTAACCCACATGGAATTTTCCTTGCTAACAAGCCAGGAAGGTAAGGCTATTCCAAAGCTTGTTGCTACAAAATAAAGCAGAATGAGAAATTTTATTTTTGTCTCTGCATTGACTTTTCTCCAAAAAAGTAATCCATCATTTACATGTTAAGGTACATTTACATTCACCAAATTGGAGGTGGCTGGTGGGGGACATTTACCTAGCCACAAAGTGGAGACTTCAAGGTAAATATCCACTACTAGCCACAGACACTGAGTTAAAAAGTTGTTTTAGTATATATTAATAATAAACAATGAGGTAATGTAGTGCAAAAATAAGATCTTAACTCATTTATTCCTGCAACAATTACAATATTTTTGGGTACAAACCTCATGCAAGTTGCTTGGAGGTGAATAGAAAATAATATTCAGAGTTTGAGTAGCCAATCAGAGCATGCCTTCAACACTATCTACTGTATTGATTAGTATATACAAATCTTTATTTATATAATTATACACCTTCAAACAAAATGGAGTTAAAGAGATTTCCAAAAACATTCCTTGCAGTATAATAACCCTTGTAACTTGTTCATCTTGTCTATCACTGATAATAAAATTAACCATCAAAATAAAAACCATTTAACACTAGTGACATATTAAGTCTTACACACCCCCAGGTCCATCAGGGTTGCCATGTTCCTCCCAATTTTTTCGTGATTCTTCATTAGTTAACCTAGAAATTAATATTGGATATTTAGACATATATTACAAGTTCTCATGAACCCCAAATATTTGGGGAGATTGAAGTGAAAAAAAATTTTTTTTTAACTTACGCTTCATATGCTTTTGCTATCCTCATGAACTTTTGGGAATCACCAGTGTCTTTATCAGGATGGAATTTCATGCTGAGTCTGCGATACTGTCGACGTATATCTGCCGTGCTTGCACCCTAATGGAAAGACAAGGGGAGATTATAAATGCCAGTAAACTGAGTGTACTTTTCAACAGAGTGTGAAAAAATTAAATATATCTGATGAAAAGAAATCACAGAGGCCAGTCAAAGTGAAAGAAAAGCTCACAAACAGCCAAAAAGATCAAGTTAACACATGAAACAGGGTTAACCCTTTAACTCCCAAGATCTCATTAGTAATTCTCCTTACTGTCTCCCATACAATTCACATGAAGTTAGTTTGGAGAATTTGGAATTGGATCAACACATAATTGATGTTTTTCTTTATTCTCATTACTTGTCTGCTTTTTATCATATTGATAGTGTAAAGAGAAATCCTCTCTGGGTCATTGGTGGGACTTAAAGGGTTAAAACACATATCATGAATTTGTGACTGGTTTAGTTGAATAATAAGTGATTATTTGAGAGAGTGGCATTACATCTCAGGACTAATCACAGAGGGACAAAAAAAAAGAGTGAGAGGCTGGATTACTTGTGCTTTCCATGCTCAGCTGAAATTTGCACTGCCAAAATTGTGTATCACAGTAAATAAAAGGCTGTAATTGTGGACACATCATCAAGGTCTGATACTTTGTAGTCAGTTGACCTCAATCTAATAATTCCCAGGAAGTTTTTGTTCAAGTACCATAAAATTAATGTAAACACTGAAGTCACAAAGGCCAATCACCATTAAATATTTTTGTTTTTGATATCTGTTCATCACATAAATCACTGAATAAGATGTATGAAAGGAACAGATTGTTGTTGAAGTTAGTCAAGGAAAGACTGAGTTGATGTACAAAATTGTCTTGGAGTCAGCAGTTAAAAATAACTAGCAGTGTTAAATAGAAAAAGCACACTCTTGGCCAACACTGTTAACTTGACAACCATATTGTTATTTCAGTGGAACTACTTTGAAAAGACAAGTTTTTCAACTTTTGTTACATGTAGTCTCATTTTAATTCACAACACTTAAGAACATTTTAATCCAATCAGCTTCTCAAAGGAGGTCAATTTTTTTAACAAACATGCCTTTTCCAACTAAAACCATTGTCTGCAAAATTGTAACATTGACAATAGTCTAAATACTAATCTGTGTTCACAGACAACATGCATGTAACAGCCTTTTTTATATACTTTTTTCATTTCAATTCGTTTACAATTACTCACTCTGTCCAACTCTAAGACAGCATAAGGATCATATTCAGCAAATTCTCTTTCAAATTGAGACACTTTATATGCTCCAATAAAGAACAAAGCCCATAAAACTGCTATAGCTGAAAGACTAAAAAAGAACAGGTACAAATCAAAATTAAGATGACAGATAATAAATATTTTTCATAAAATAATATCTTTGGTTCTGATTTTGTTCTCCTTAAGTTAAAACTTATCTTTGTACATCAACACCTAGAAAGAAAATAAAGAAAAATTGTTCTTGAACTTAGGTGTAATTGAACCATTAAAGGTTTGTTCATTGATATGTTGTAAAGGACACAATCATGAAAAAACAAAAGTCTTGGAACGAACTCAAAAGGGAAGGTATAGCAGTTAACAGAGAGAATTAACTTCTCCATCAAAAAAATTCAAATTTGGCTTGGCTTTGATGGTTGAAATCGGTCTAAGCTTAGAACTGATACAGTACAAAACTGGCGTAACAAAACTGTGGTAACATAAACACTCTTAATTTCTCTGAATTAAATATTATGATTTCTTTTTAATACCTTTTCAAGGAAGTGACACAATATCAGTAACTAAATTAGAACATACCGATAAGTAACAATGTTATAGTTGATCCTTTGTCCGTTAAATCTATTCTACTTTAATTCTCTTTTCAAGGTGCGCGACCATTTACAGTAAGCTTACAATTTATCCAGGTAAGCAATGAATACATTTGCCTTGAGTACACATGTTAGGTACTCTTACGAGCAATACTTCGCCAAAATTTTACTTGATTGAGCTAACTAGAGTTCAGGACAACTAAGTAAAAAAATCAATATTAGATATGTTCATATATGTGAATGGCGAGTCTATTTACTTGGAGATGTACAAAATATAACGGAATAACCTCGAATTTGGCGATTTTCCTTTCAGCCAAAAGAGTATGAAATCAAAATGATTAAAGACCTAATAATTTAAAAGCAAAAAAATTTGACAAAATCATCCTTAAAAATAACAAAAAGGGAGCGCATCGAAGATCCAAAAGACACGTCATTCTAAAATTACAAGACAGATGATTGTAACAAATTACCTCACATAGCGAATACTCTTCGATTTCGGCTCCTTTTTCCGCAACGATTCCCGTTTTTCTACACATGGTGGACATCTACAGATTTTGACTGTTTCTTTCTGATCCTCTGAAATGGGTGTTAAAAGCACATGGGTTAAAATATAAAAAAAATAATAAATATAAGGTAGAAGACGGCCATATGGTAAGAGATCCAAGCCGGCCGGAATTAATTCTAACGCCGCCTTCTGAGTGACTGACTCACACGATTTCGAACTTACCTGGCAATTTTGTGACCTTCCATACATAATATGTTAGGGGCACAAGCACTATACCAAAGAACGATAGAAGAAAGTAATAAAAAGTTGTGCCTTTTTCATCGTACTCGAATTGAGCTCCCGCCATCTTGATAGAGAATTGTAGTGGTTAGCGGTTTTCAATGTGGTAGATAATTCATGTATGAGCCATTATTATGTCCTCAATACGTATTATGTCCTATACTTTACATACATGTAATGTACTTTACATACAATACCCTAACACACATACAGGGCTAAACAAGGCTACATACAGCTATACACAGCTCTACAGGGCTATACACAGCTCTACAGGGCTATACACAGCTATACAGGGCTATACACAGCTATACAAGGCTATACAGAGCTATACAGGGCTATACAAGGAAGGAGTTCCCTTGGAAATGATGATAGTGAACGACTGTTGTCATGCAAGAAATCTTTATGAACGCATCTTTTCAGGAGTAAAAATTAGATTGGACTTGTTTCATGCGTGTTCAAGGATAGTTCAAACTATTTCCAAAAAAGACAGTTGCGGTAAGCAGTTTTCCTCTGAATTGTCTCTCATCTTACGTCGAAATGGAGACCTTGGTACAGAAAGGACAACGAGTACGCCTGGCTCAGGAGAGATCGAGGCAAACCTAGAACGGTTATTGTTTTCTTGGAAGGATCGTTTGCCTAAGGAAACTCTCCATTAATTAGAATGCCTTCGCAAATACATACAAAAGGGGTGTCTTTCGGACATACCTCCTGGGTGTGGAATAGAAAAGAATGAACGTTTACACAGACATATTAATAGATCGCTCCTCTGTGGTGTCTTGGACCAGAACTCGCGATAACTGTAATGAGTTGTGTATCGTTTGCCTGGAATTGCAAACGACAAATAAACAGATTGACCTCGAGAGCTAAGCCTGTTATGCCAGTTGAAATAATTAGAGAAGGTAACCTTTCATCGCCACAACAACACATGAAGCAATTTGAAATTTCTCATGAAGAGGACTTCATTAGCATTGAGCCAGAAATCATTTAATGGAGAAAATTATGTTTTCTTCATTTGTGCTAAACAAATTCTGTAAATCGAGGTTATTTCAGATATAAGTAATAACTATTTACCGAAGTGGAGGTGGCTAGAAGCAGATATTTAACGAGCCGCGAAGCGGCTTGGCAAATATTCATTAATAGTCACAACACGGAGGTGAATAGCTGTTTTTTAGTACACACTAAATCAGTGATAATATAGCAGAAAAAGATGATTTTAATCAATTTATTCCTGCACGTGCGGGAGCGTGAAACTCGCGAGTTGCTCAGAGGTAAATAGCAAAAGATATTCGGAGTTTGAGTAGCTAATCAGAGCGCACCTTCAACGCTATCCACTACTTTAGTATATACTAATGACCTTTAACTTGTCGAAACCTTGTCGAAAACCATTGTATTGATTCTTGACAAAGAAAGAACTGGTTACATGCTACAAGTAGACTTAAGAAGACGGTCGCATTTGCTTCAATTTCTGCCATTTAAATTGACACTTTTTTAACAACTTTATTTGGTTTATAACATAGTACTAACTACACCTCTAGCTTGTAGCACGAGCAAGTTCTAACTAGTGTCTACGTGCAGGGCCAGTCAATGTCAAAGGACGTTCTTAGGCAGTCAAAAAGTGTTTGTTTGACGAAAAGAGCTGGAAGGAGAGCGGATTCGTAAAACTAAAGGAAGGAGCAGTAGAACAAGAGTAATTCTAAAGTTTCACAATGCGATTGAAGTAGGAGGCCTGAAAGTGCTCGTTTCACAGGTTAGTGTTTTTAAATTAAAGGAGTTGCTTAGTCTAGTACGGCCGTGAGAAATAAAGTTTGTGAAACATCAAGGTGAATATGGTTAAAGAAGCACTTATAAAAGAATACCAAGTCTTTCAGTTCTCTGTCGTAGGTAAGAGGGAGTAAGTCCAGGGTAATAAGTCTATCTTTGTAGGACATCTCGCCAATCCGGGTTTGTAAGATCCATCTGGTAGCGCGCCGCTGCACTCGCTCGACTTGTGCCTCCAGGGAAACCTGAGCAGGCGACCAGACTTGAGTAGCGTAGCAGAGTTGTGACTTGACTAGCGATAAGTATGGCGCGCGCCGGGTAGACACGTCAGTTAGTGATGGACATGTCCGCTTTAGGAGCCCAAGTAGCTTGTTGTCTCAAGTGATGATGGTGTATATATAAGGGTGCCAAGACAACGTACCCGTAATTGTAACTCCTAGATCTTTTTCGACGGACACTCGCACAAGTTGTGTGTTGTTTAGGGTGTATTCGTTAATAAAGGGAGTTTTCATCCGCGTCACAGTAAGCGTTGTGCATTTCTAGATAATGGACAGCTGTGTATTTTTTCTGTATTGCATTTTGTTTTTGCTGTCTTTCTATTTTTTCCCTTATTATCATCTTTTTAATCTTCTTACTTCCTCTTTTTTCTGTGTTGTCTTTTTTGAGCCATTGTGACATTATTTCTGATAAGATTTTTTTCTATTTTTATAGTAATATATTTCTCTTCTCTGATGTTATTATTATTATTATTATTATTATTATTAATCATTTATTTGGCTGACCAATTGCCAAATGTGTAAAATATGGCAATATGGCAGATTAAAAGATACTCGAAAATTAACTTGAAGACAAGAACTAACATTGTTCACGGGGCAACACAATACATTTAATATCTATCAATGGGACTGTTGTAATCATCAATTTTAAAACGTTGAAGCTCTTTTATTTCCAGTTTAGTATTCTTGTACACGTCTCCTGTTCGTTTGTGAGGTCTGCAAAGGTTTACTTTGATCAAGAATGGAGCAGAACGAAGGAAAACCACTTGGTACCGTTGAAAACAGTTGGAAATATCAGAGGTTAAGTTTTAATGCTCGAGGGGAATTGGATTTCATTTCGAAATAGCAGAGTAATAACCAAGTTTAAAATGATAAGATTTAACAGAAGAGTTTAGGTGATCATTTTCCTTAACAGCTTGGTTTTGCTTTATTCGAAGTTGCAATTTTCAGTGGTGGTAGACAGAAATTCTAACGCTGAGTTGAGAACATTTGCTGAGCAGAAAAGAAGCCCTTCATTTTATCTTTCGATCTAATATTTCGGTTAAACTAAATCTACTTTAAATGATAAGTTTTATGGGCAAAAAGGAAATTTAAAATATTCTTTGTAAGTATCAGTGAAGAGGCCAACATTACGAGTCTCTGTTGGTTAAACTAACAAATGAAGTTCTACAAATGCTGCGTCTGGGGAGAAATGAATATAACGTAAAAGAAATGTTGGTATAATAAATGCTTCAACACATATAAAAATGCGTGATACCTGCCGTGTAACATTGTGCCGGTGCGCCCGCTTGATAGCTTTTTGAAAAGTGTCCAAATCGTTTCGTTTAACGAGCCCCGTTAAAGGACGCCGTCTGCCATTACGGCGTATGCTAATATTCCTCGTTTATATGGCGTCTGTTAGCTCTTTTTATGATTCATTTCCTTTATTCTTGACCAGAAACGCTCCATTGCACTCCCAGTCACACAAACTTCCTCACCCTCCTCCCCAACTCGGTATTTAAAAACTATCTGCACCGACATTCCAGATGGTCGACTGGTAATCGTGGGCGTGCAACGAGTGCAAGTGAGGTCATCGAGGTCGCTGGTTCGAATCACGCTATAGGAGTTATTTATAATCTGGCTTGGGGGGCGAATAACTTCTCCCCGAATATGATTTGGAACTGGTGGACAAGGAATAACTCTCAAACTGGCATAGGGGCCGAGTAACTCCTCCCTGTGGAATTCACATTTTGATTTTGATGTCTTTTCAGGTTTTCCCCTTCTTATCATCATCATTTTTATCCTTTTTTCACCTTTTTCTCTCATTGTTTTCTGAGCAGTTATCTTTTAGGGCCACTAAGTATTCTTCAGTGATATGGTTTTGGTACGTGTAAGTTGCTTTTTTTCCCCTTTTTTTTTCTTTCTTTTTCTCGAAATTAGATGTAATATATATTTGCATATCTCGGTCAGTAATAGGTTAAAATAATAATAACAATAATAATATTATTAAAATATATATATATATACATATTTTATATTTTAATGTTATCATTATTCTTATTATTTTTTAACTTCTTATCGACTGAGTGCGAGTGCGGTACTTAGGAATATTGGCCCAAGGTCGTGGCAATTCGGACCGACCGCAGCGAGGCCTGCACAAAAACGACAGTACGGTTCGAGTAAGCGAGTTTAGTTTGTAGTTTACAAAATTTTTTATGGCATTACTTTTAATAAGACAAACAAATTTAGGGTAAGCAAAAATAGTGGACAATAAATCTTAAA